GGGAGCGCGGCGCTGCCCGGTGCTGCCCCGCGGAGAAGCTGGTGGCTTTGGAGAAAGGGAGAGGGAAGGTATGCCGGGTCCCCTGCGTCCCGCGGGGGCGGCTGAGGTGCCCTCAGCTTCGGTAGCTCTTGGCGCCTTTCAACGCGGCCAGTGTGGATGGAAGAACGAACGATTTTCAGATTATAAACTTGCCTCTTCTTTGCTTGAGCCAGCTGCATAACTTTGAGCGACCCATAAAAGAAATGAAAAGCTGAGTAAACTGCCCAGATGTTTTCTACTTCAGAGAAGCAACAAGTTCCTTATCCCCTGATCACATGTAAGGCTGGCTGGAACAGCTTCAAAAACAAAATATGCTTTGGGAGAAGAGATGATTTTGTAACTGGAAGAAAAAGAACAAGTGATGAGAGTGTAATTTGAAAATCTTAAAAGAGGAGGGGAAAAGGTTCACCTGTTATTACTGTTATGGCAGCGCTGCTATGTTTCTTCGATAAATACAAAGTCTTACTGTCATCATAAAATAGTGAAAAAGTGGAATAGATATTGGTTCATGATGCCAAATTTCAAGCAGTCATTTGACATAGTTGTTACTGTGCAGTGGTATAATCTGTCATCCATCTTACTTGGACCACATTTCTTACTGTATATCCTTTGTGTTTTTATATTTAAGATGTATTTGCAGTATTAAAATAGTTCAATCCTATTAAACAAAATTGCTATTCTAAAAACTAATCTATTAGAGTCCTGAACTGAGGGCAGTATCAATTACTGGGAAGGGTGTTTAGTGTAAGGAAACTCATTAAGTAACTCGTTGCAAACTAAGTTTGAAAATATTTCTAGTGTAAGCTGCAAGAATCTTGGCAGCTGGTTTTAAGCAAGTGCAAGCTGAATCCAGAACAGTGCTGTATTATTTGTAGCCTTGAAACTGGGTATGCTTTCACAGCTTGCAGTTGACATTGGTGTACATTCTGTACCTGTTGTCAACTCGGCAGACCCCTTTCTGTGCTGAGTAGCAGACTTCAAGGACTCAGGTGCTAACTTAGTCTCCTGTGCTTATTCAGACTGAGATGCTAATGAGGACACTGGTTGGTAACACTTGTTTCTTGGGATGTGAACAGCTGTTGAGGAAGAATTTGAATGAGATCAACTAATGTCTCGCAGACCATAAAATGGCCATCATGTATCACTAACCTTATGGAAGTAAGAGTTGGGGTAACAGTAAACTCAATTGCCCTGGCATGCTCTTACCATTAATATCAGTCTTTATAGTCAGAAGTTTGAGATCCCTTTTTTTAAAAATATGTTAATTTGTGGCTATTAAAAATAATCACTGACTATACATCACTTAGGCATGTATGCCATACACCAGTAAATGCTTCCTTCTCAGCTCATGGAAGTCAGATGATACTGTGACCAGTGCCCAAATCTTTAGAGAGAAAGCAACAAGTGGCAGGAATTGAATGAACGGCAGTAAGAGCAGCGTGAGCAGATATGGTTGTATTACTGTCAGAGGATAAATACAGAGGTGGTAGGTGGGTCTGAATTCTAGCATGGACTTGGTTTTTCTTTTGTGACCTTGATCAGGTTCACAAAAACATGTGTGACAGCCCATTGAAATCCATGCTTTTGTGATTTCCTGAAGAGGTATGCTTTCCTGAACTGGGACTGAACCCTGGACATTCTCACAGCATCTGTTTTTCTCCAGATAAAATTGGGAGAGAGAGGAAGCCTCACCATGTCTGTTAGCATTATAACCTCGCGTTCCTTGAATGGCAATATAATTGTCTTACAGCAGCTAAAAGATTATTTGTAGAGATTGTTTTTCAGCCTTATAGCTGAAACAAGTCTAAATAAGACTGTATGAAACAATATACTAGCATAGCATTACAGTAAAAAGCAAACCAAGAGAAGAAATCTGGCAACTTGTTTCAACTGTGTACTATATGTAACCCCAGATGGAGAAAGTCATTTAAATTAGCTGTCCAGAATGATGTCTGGTCCAAACAGTTGAACACTTTCTATGAATCTGGTTGAAGCAGCTACAACCTTCCTGGCACTCTTCCAGCATTTCTGTCAAAGCAATGTTTTTCCTTAAGTCTTGTCCAGTCTGTGTGGAAGAAAAACCCAGATTATGTCCACATCCCTTGAGATACAGTTGCAAACGTTTGCAGAGCTTGTTGTCTAAAGACTTCTAAAGTCAACCTATTCTTTAATTTCAACACCGTACTGCTGTCCCATCTTAAGTAATTCCTTTTCAACTGCAGTGGTTACAATCTGTGTTGTCAGTCATCTTGGTTAGTATCACAGTTGCTTGTTTCTTTAAAAAGTCTGTACGGATTGTTTCTAATCAGCTGATAGTAATGATTATTTTCCTCTAAACTCAATACCAATTTTTTTATTTGCCTGTCTCCTAATACAGTGAGGATATAAGTTAACATGGTCAGTTCTGGGTTATTATTGTGTTTCCTTATCATTCAAAGTTATGTTGATTTTTTAAAGAACATGGAACACACAGGTGCACTAGCATTTTTAAAGGTAATTTAAGGGGTTTTTTTTGTGAAAACATTGGGTCCAAGGTTTTGCATGATAGTTTCTGAAGGAAATTTTGAAAGCTGGGTAAGCAATGCACTTTCTGAAAGGACTTTCAAATGGAAACTGTCCTTTTAAGAGAAGGAGGGCAGCAGAGGGATTATGGCAGAGTTCAACTTTGTATCTCTAAGTGGAACCTTCTCCTCTTTGCATACTCCAAAAGGGTAAAGTATTGCAGACTATGCCTGGATTTTGCTATTGAGACCTGTTCTGCAAATGAAGTGCATATGAGGCTTGTACATGAAACTCAGGCTGCCATGAAGCTGATATTTAATGGGGACCTTTGTATTTTACTCTGCCAGTTACTTTTCTCGTGACTGGGGGCTATTTTTAGTTTCTCCCAAGGGGAAAAAAAAACAAACCCACTCTTACATTTTTAACAGTTTGTATACTGTTACAAGCCTTTGTTTTTCCATCTGAATCTGACATTTTCTGGAATGTTACACAACAGATTGTCTCACCTGAATGTGCTGTTATTTATTTTGCTGATATGAAACACATCTAAAAGCATTTTCACTGTTTCAGGCACTTGGCTTCTTGTGGTATTCTGATGACCAGAATTTCTCCCTTGCAAGTACCTGTATTGAGCCATACTTTTTCAAGAACTTTCTTCAAAATCGCTGCTCCACTAGTAAATAAAAGAAAAGAATATTCTGAAAGAAGAATTATAGGGTTTGTATAGAAGTGTGGAAAGAGACTTTATATGTTTATGAATTTTGTGTTTGCTGTGATTAATCCGAAACACTAGAAGTTCAAAGACTGAGCATCCCTAGGACACATGCCCCTATGACTCTGCTCAATTGGAGAGTAAGAAGGAATTTTTACTTTCAGAATTTGTAGTCATCAATTTCTAGTCTGAAATTGAGTATTAAAAAAACCATAGGAACCCAAAACCATTGCCCCATAAAAAGAAAAAAACAGAAATAACCCTTCTATTCCATGACAAAACAAAAACAACACTGAAAGGGAAGAATACCCTATTAATTTAATCTGGTGAAATGGGAATAAACCAAGAGGTATGAAAACTCTCCATTTGTTCCATTCTGTGCTAATGTTTGCACTTAATTATGTTATACTTCTCACTTCTTGAGATTTTTTCTCTTTCTTTAAAAGGAGGAAAATAACTAGTTGTGTGATGAAGAAACTTAGGCACATAGAAAAAGATTTTGAAGTCATGTTTGTCTTAAAGCTAGTGCGAAAATTCCAGTTAATTTAATGAGACGAGGATCTGCCCCCAGTCTCTAGTCCACAATAGAATGAACTGTTTATTAGCATAATTTTTTGACTGTGCTTAACATTCATTTATGTGATAGTTCTTGAACTGCAACAGATTTTGCATAGTCACATTAAAAGAGTCTTTATCCAAGAGTACTCACTGTTGAGCAGTTTAGCATATGCTTCATTTTAAACACAGATGGAAGTAAGCATGTGCTTCAATTCTTTTCCAGGTCAGAACTAAAAATTAAAAACAATAGCTATGTAATACTTTGCCACATTTCAGTAGAATTGAATAAAATGTTGCCATCATATTCTTTCATATGATTTCAATATCCCGCCTGAGCAGGGGGGGGTTGGACAAGATGACCTCCAGAGGTCCTTTCCACCCTCAGCTGTTCTGTGATGCTGTGATGTTTTTCCATTGCATATATTTAATTAAGCTTTTTTTATTTGGGCTAAAATAAGGAAAGTAGTGTTCCTCTATTTAAACATTATGAAATAAAGTACTTTGGTTTTGATACACTTTTTGTGGGTAGCCATGAAGTATAGAGTCTTCATGTGGAATGTCTAAGATTTACCTAAATGAAGATACAGCTGTGCTGGAAAAACTATTTTTCTATTTGAAATGTATGCATATTTGCCTGATATTGTAGAAGGTAGCAAGCACCAGGTTCACTGTTCACTAACTTTACTGCTAGATGTTGTGTGGTGTTTTGCATCTTTATGCAAAGGCTTTTACCAGTTTATTTTTTTTTTCCTTTTTAATTTCCAAAAACAGTGGTAGTGTTTTCAGGTGACTGTATGTTCACCTTCCAAACTGCCTATGCCATTTATATCATCTTTGAAACTTTTTAATACTGAATTTGAAGTTATAATGCCTTGTAAGTAATGTTCATATTTCTGTTCCCAGGTATTCTATGCAGGAAATGTATGAAGTTGTTGCTGTTGTGGAGAATTACAAACTATTTGTTCCTTGGTGTAAAAAGTCAGATATATTATCGAAGCGCTCTGGATATTGCAAAGCACAGCTAGAAATAGGATTCCCTCCTATAGTGGAGAGGTATACATCGGTTGTTACCTTAGTGAGACCACATTTAGTTAAGGTAACTTTTTTTTTTCGTAGCTGTAACTTTCCATAAATTCTGTTTGTTGAAATTCAAATAATTCACTCGTACTTAAAAATGAAAATTGCTGCTGGAAGTGGCTCAAAACCTAAGTCTTTAAACAAGAGCAACACAAGTTAACTAGGGAGAATTTAAATGCACCTATAAAACATAAGCTGACAAATGGCGGCAGGGGGAAAGAGGGAATTGCCTTTTAATTTCCTTTTGCTGGAGAAATGCAGCCATTAAGGAAGGTATACCATTTTTGGTTTTGTTATTTTGTCCAATCCTCTCTAAATTCAAAATTAATACTGACTTAAAAATTATCTTTGACCACTGTAGCTTCTGACGCCATAGCAAAATTGGTATCTGTCATTACTTCTGACAATTTTAACTAGCTAATTAGAAGTTTTAAGTAGGATCTGCTGAAGAGCTTGTTATTCAGTGTATTGATGAGAGGATAGAGTGGATTTAAAGTCCATTTTTTCAGAATTAATTTGTTCTGAAGAAGAAGCAGTTGTATTTCTCCTCCCTTCAGCTTTTCAAGAGCAATAATTAAAAGAAAAATATCAAAGGAGAAATTTTAAGTGACATCTGGATCTTTTAACTAGTTTGCCTTATGTTCAAATCTGCTCTGGTTAGGATCAGTTCTGAATGGATTCCTTACAGCAAAACTGCCTCTCCCTTCATATGGCAGATCTTGACTATTTTTTGGAATAACTAGTGGAATTACAACAGTTGATTGCTGTTCAAGATCGTTGTTTGGATATCCTATTTCACTATTCTTTTATAGGCTGCCTCTTAAGAGGCACTGCTCAAACAGAAACTGGGTTTCTTAAGTACAGGGGAGACATGAACTGGAAAAGGAATATGCAAAGTACCTTTAATCAAGGTACTTACTGATTCTGGAAAGAAAAAAAAAATCTTTCTCCCTTAAGAAAGTTGAACAGTTACAATGGAAAATCTGCATTTTACATGCTGACTGCTCTCCCTTTCTACTCTTCCCTGACAAGGTTGCCTTTTTCCTCCTTTCACATAGCTATCAGACTGGCTTACCAACTCTTTTTACCTCTAATTCACTCAAAAGAGGATTTCTTGTCTCAGAAGAGATCATGAAAGTGGCGAGGAGAACAGTTTCTTTAGACTTCCTCCTCCTAGACTTATTAGCATCTTCCCTGCTGGGATTATTTTTCCTAGAAATTTACATTATGTTCATATAACTGTAGGAACATTTCTAGAGAAGTGACTGTGTGTTTGGAGTACTTCACTGTCCTCAGAAATAACTCTAAGCAAAGGCAGTTTGCAAGCTGGTCTCGCATAGCGGGCTACTGGTGGTGACAAAATGAGCACAGATTTGTTGCTTACGGCAGCAGCGCTTAAGCAATGGAAAAATCAGACTGCTAGCAGCAGCTCTTGCCACAGAGGAAAGCATGGAATGAGCTTGCTACTTATAAGGTTGGGATACTGGCAATTTTCCCATTCTTCCTGCCCTTTTGGCAGCAGCTGGAAAAACAAGCCCAGCTCCTCATGTCTGAACTTCCCTCTGCACCTCCCCTTTCTGTTGTAGAAGTAGCAAGACGCTGCATCTCATTCCCGGGCAGAAAAGTGTAGGTATTTTTGTGCTGCTTGTTAGTTTTTGAGATGGCTTACCTTATCACTGTTTTCAAACCACGGCAACACCTATTCATCATGGATAGTCTTGTTGGAGCAGAGCTGCTTGTGGTAGCAGTAAGACCTGTGTAAAAAAACAAAAAAAGTGTTAAGCAGTTACAGAAATGCTCTCTAGAAATTCCAAGACAACTGAGACTATGTATTTGGGTTATCTTGAAATATGTGTCTTTTAATCTTTTTCTATCACAAATATTTCCACACAAAATTAGCTATATATGCTAAAAGCAAAATGAGTGAAAATAAGGACCTTGTTGTCATGAAAACTATGAAGCCAACTACTGCAAATACTTTATTGTTTTAAAGTAGGATTGTATGCAAGCACTCCTGAAATATTAGTTAAATATGGCTTGCTAGTAACTACAAGACAACATATAAGCTGATTATGAACTTGAGTATATGGTCTTACTGACTGCATGGTAGCTCTTGATGACAATAGTATCTTGTGACAAAGATCACAGTCAAGTTTGTTTTGATGCTAAGTCTTCCTGTAGCTCAAGACTACCAGTCTATATATCAGTACATAAAAATTTCTATACATGTAATGAAAAAAAAAATAAACCCATTAAATATCCATGTTCTTTGCTTAAAACAATGTTGTTCAAAATTCCAGCATATAGCATTAGCATTATTTTGGTGTTCTGTTCATCATGCTAGAGATCTGTTTTGACTCTCAACACAAAAATTTTTCTTCTCCCTTAAAAGGGATTCAATTACTTTGCTGTAAATGACACTGTGCAAATAGGGTCTTGTGCTGGCTGCGCTATAAGAATAATTTTAACTATGCTGTGACCTTCACTGGTCTAACAAAATGCAAATGCAAGCTTCAGTAATACCAATTTGTCACATCTGTAAAAGCCTAACTGTAGCTTGACTTCTTAAACTTTCTTTTAGGCATCCTGCACAGATGGAAAACTATTTAATCATTTGGAAACAGTGTGGCGTTTCAGCCCAGGTATCCCTGGTTACCCAAGGACATGTACATTGGATTTTTCCGTAAGTGTTGTAATTAAGACTACCACCTGCTTGGAACAGGGCATAGAAACAGTATCTTCAACTCGGGGGTTTTTTGTTTGTTTTTGTTTGAAAGGCTGGTACTAGTTTTGTTGTGGGGATTTTTTTAACCATATATGCATGGAAAACAAGCTAGTTTTAGTCACTACTATAAAAAAAAAATTTGCAAACTTTACCACATGGAAACCACTACAGTGTCCTTTAGAGTCAGCAGTCTTCTGTGAGGTGGCTGCCTGTCATGAAACAGTCTGGGGATTGGTATTTTTCACCATCTCTCTCACTGTACAGTTCTAAACATGCTGACGTTATTAGTCAAATATAGAGGGAGAAATACTAAACATACTTTGCTATTTCTTCTAATCACTCTACAGCCTAAGTGCTCTTGGTACCAGAAAGCAGGTATTTCTCCCATCTGTTCTGTTTGGCCTGCAGTTTGGTCAATTTAATTTCCTGGCTTCCAATTTTACTCTTTCATGTATCAAGTCTTACTTTTTCCTTCTATAATACAAGTATAGTAGATTTTTGCTGGTTTTCTACTCTATGGTGGGATATCACAGCAGCTCAAGACTATTGCTCTTTAAATCCAGTATCTGATTTAGCCTGTTACTCCTAGACAACTTGTTTTCCACTCAAGTTACTGCTTTTCCATTTTGTCTGTCATCACATTTTTTCTTATGTCTTGCAGTGTTAAGAATAGGTGTTGCATTGAGCACATAACTAAGCTGGGGTTCAGAACAGGCTACAAAAGTACACAGAAATGGGTTGATCCTGCTGCCATCTACTGGGATACTCTGCTTTAAAAAAAATATCTTCTATAAATAGGAAAAAGAGCTTTTGGAGTATTTGTAAATTAGCACGTTAATCTCCTTGGGCTAATAACTTTAAACTTATTGCTGTATTGCACTTCATACAGTTCAACAGTAAAAATTAATCAATAGGCACTCAAAAAAATACATTTCTCATGGGATTTGCCAGCAATGTTTGCATGTTATTTGCTCGTGGGATTTGAATTTCTCCAGGCAAATAAGTGCCAGTTCCTGCTACTGACCATACATAAGCTAGCTTTAAATTCAAGCCATAAACTGGTTGAGAAAATCTGAACTAAGCAAGCGCTTAACCCTTATAATCTAAATACTGAGTTTGTGAGGAAAACTTTTCCCCCACCTCATACCCAAGCCATCTTTTGATATTTCAGGTCAAGAACTTCAGTTAAAGGGAGTCAAAACTGGACTTAAAATGCACATTTTCACTTTCTTGAGGAAACACTGTCAATCCTTCTTACTGCTTACCCCATTTTGAGGCAGCAGAAGCAAATGTTGCCAGCTGAGCAGAGAGTTGCCTCACAAGGGCAAGTCCTCAAGGACTCTAACCCTTGCTAGTTACTGACCTGCTGCGTTGCTTGCCTCTGGGCCTCTGCAGATAGGGGTGATAAACATTTCACAAGAAACTTCTCAAAATAGCCTGTGCAATTACAAATACTTGAGAGAGAAAACTTTGATTTCAAGAACACTCGTTTGCTTTAGAAAATGTAATTTGAGGTTTGGGTTATGCTGGTTCCCACAAGCTACTGCATCGCTGTTCTGCCAGCCTGATGGCAGGAGACATACATACAGCAGGGAACTTTTCCAGTTTGGCTTCAGTTCTTAAATGACTTGGTACATAGATTGAAGCACAACACCATTTTTTACCACCTACAAGCTTTGTAGATGTATTCAAGTTTATACGTAGTTACTGAACACGATGCAAACCTCATTATCCCCACTCTGCAGAACTCTATACGCTCTGCATGACAACTCCCAGACTTTCAAAAAGGACATTAATTTTACTGATGCTTGAGGTCAAGCAAATGTAAATGAAGCTACACCTGGCTTACCATCCAAGTGGTTTAATTACTTCTGTTTCACAGTTAATATGCATTATGCACAAGCAACTTGAGAGAAGCTATATTTGTTCCATTTGGCATTTAATCTGCCAATTTCTCAGGAGTGACAACTCTAAAATCTCAGTCCAAAAGACATGCTATAGCAGGAGTGATAAAATCACAGAAGAGCAATCTGTTCCTTTTCCTGAAAATCCCGTAATCATTTCAGGAAGCTGTGTATTTCAAACCAGTGTGATTCCATAGCCTTAGGGGAACGTTATTTAACTAGAGAAAGGCCAGCACAGCACAAAAGCATCACTGAAGGCTATTTAACATAAAAGTGACCGTTTCTTTTTAGAGTGGAGAAAGCAGACTGCCTGTGCCCCTGCCATAACAGTTTAACTGTAAGATTCAGTAAGCTGAAAGAAAATGTAGGCGATCTGAGCACCGCAGTGGGAGGCCTAAGGGCTTGGTACAGGGGACTTCACCTGTGTGTCTGTACTCTGACATTGGCTGCCCGTCAGGACAGCAAAGGTCGAGAGCAGGTGGTGTTCAGGGAGGAGACATGGCACACAAAAGCAAATTTGTTCCTTTAGTCAGTAAATTGCTCTTGTTTGAACATGCCATAACTACAGCTACCAAGATGGAAAGACCGATTTAAAATGGTGGTATTTAATAGGTAACTATTTCAAGCTACTTTTAAATGCCTCTTGGGTTTGCTCCAGCTTACCTCTGAGCCTGCTGTCTTGCCATGCAGGATTTTCTTCAGATAACTTTTGTCCGCAAGTGAATTCTGTGTGTAAAGTAACCAAGTTATTGTTTGTCAGTAGCTTTTCATTATCTCTAATCTTTTACTTATGTTTTGCAATGCATCATTTATTAAGTAAAATACAGCTAGATAAATGGAAACAATTACTTTAGAGAACAGAACAAAATTCTTCTAATTGAAAAGTCCAGGGAGATAGTACCCTGACCAAGGAATAAGGCTTTTCTTCACACACCCACCCAGTTTGGTTTTAACTGTTTTTTCTCCCACAGCTTACTTGCAGACTAACTGGAGATTCTTTAATGAAGCTGGTCTATTTGTAACAGCATTTTACCACTACAGCAGATACAGGAAAACAAGTTCTTCTCTACTTTCTTAAACAGGTTTCATTTGAATTTCGTTCACTTCTACACTCAAAACTTGCTACGCTATTTTTTGATGAAGTGGTAAAGCAGATGGTAGCTGCCTTTGAAAGAAGAGCATCCAAACTCCACGGCCCAGAAACAAACATACCTCGGGAGCTAATGCTTCATGAAGTTCATCAAACATAAAGTGGAAAGTTGTAACAACCTCCATTATAAACTTGTTTGTCCAAGAGATGCCATGCTCCTTCTTTAGGGCATCTATCTCAGATCCGAGCTTTGAGTGTGATTATATACTGTACAACACCCGTCAGCCAGCTGTATATAGAATGTTCAAACTGCAATCAAGTGCAACTTCAGGTGTTACCAGTGACAGACAGTGGGCAGCTACTCTAACACAAGGTATCTCAGGCTGCCCTTTGTGAACTTGCCAAAGGGTTTGTGTAGTCACAGTGTAAGTTCTGCCTTATCCAAGCTCACGGGGTTTTTCAGCATTGAAACATACTAACTCAAGTTTCAGTTAGCAGTAGTGTGAACGTAACCGCAACTCTGGCCAAGGGAAGGGAAACCGACATTCACCTCTGAGGAGCATGGAATAGTTTGTCAAGCATGGAGTAGCAGGTGCTTTTCATCCAAGTGAATGACAAGGGTAAGTCAGGAGTCTCCAACCAGCAACTGCAATAGAAAAAACAACACAGCGTGAACACTGAATTTTCAGAACTGAAGCGTAAGGGGTGCACAAGTTCGAGTGCAGCAGTTTCAGCTGTAGCAGTGGTTCTTGGCTGGCTGGGCTCCAGCCACTGCTGAATTTGTTGTTTGGCAAGCTGAACTTGCCTACCTGCCCCTCTGTCACAGTCACACATTGCACTTTAGTTATGGTAGATATGTTTTATCTAATGCAAACCATTCCCAGTTCTAACACAACTTTAAACCAAGTAAATAAACGTTACCTCCTTGAGAACTGGGGCAGGGATGCACAGTGTTCTGTACCACAGTGCTGTCCTCCTTGGAAGGAGGGAACACTTGTGCAGACAAGCACACCCATGGCCAGCTGTCACAAAAACATACAACAGAGAGCTAAACCATGGTTCTTGGGGGTAGTTTTTTCAGTACCATACTACCATTTAACTACCAGTCCATGATGATGGTACCAGCCATCTTGATTAATTTTTAGTAGTTTTATTCCTTACATTAAAATTCTCTTTCCAGTCTCTGAAGAAATGTAAGTGAATAGGTTTGAAGAGATTGTAAATCCTGTCTCTCTGCTGCCTTGCTTTACCTATTTCCCTACTGAAATTGGGTGAAGCTTCAGGTCAGGTGTTGAAGCTGGTCTTTTCTCCAAGGTGTCCATAACCCACATGGGTTACTACAGCATAACATATCAGTATGGTTCAGCACAAAAACAGGCCTGAAGTAGTTTCAAGCCATTTAAGTACTTTTCCAGAAAAAGCAATTGAAACTTCACACATCCTATCTGTGAAGTTCATACTGAAGGTGGGAACCTGGGAAAGCAACAGCTGGATTGAGGTCAGTTTTCCCCCGTGCTTGTTTGTGGAGACAGAGTTAAACATACACAAGTTGAGGAACACCATTGTTTTGAAGTTTGGAAAGCAGAAAAGACCACCCATCCACGTCATGAGCTGTGTCAGGTGAAAGAACACAGTAAGGGGTAAAGCTAGCTGTCATTTTTATGGGTAAAGAAACATCTAGTGCAAAACAATTCAAACTAAATCCTGGAGCCCACTACCAGAAAGCTAGAAGAACACGGTGGAACTCTCAAGGCAAAGAGGTAACCACATACAACACTTGCACAAGCATTAAAAAACCCCACAACCTTTTCTTAGCAAAGAAAACGTACCTGTTTCATACCCTGGGGGCACTTTCTCTCCCACAGCACTGTGGAAGATGCACTGGGTCTGTTCCAGCACATGAAACAAGCGTTCTAGACAGGGCAAAATAAAGTCAGTGCACATGCCTTATTTTCATAGCATTGTTTAATATTGCAAAGAACTGTAGTGTCAGTTCAGCGTAGCCATTTCTTACCAAATTTCAAGTCACTTTATTTCTCAGAAACATTCTAGACAAAGGAATGTTTCCTGCAGGGAAAGGGCCTGTGATTTCCAAGCACGAGTGTCAGATTTCTGGTACATCTTAGGAGCAGCAGGTTATCAGGGTTCTCCTGTGACTACGGCTTTGCGTGCATATGAATAAGGTGATACATGTCATAACTTTTGAGCAGTTTGTTTTATTACATAAAGGTCACATAACTGTATATTTGCCTACTTTGTACACAATTGCCTAGTCTCACACACAGTGGCTTCCAAGTTCTTCCTAGTACTGGCAAGCACCAATAAATTCTGAAACAGAATATCAAGTGCCTTAAGTTTAAATCGGGACCTCGGTAGATGGATCTTGCACCCAGGTATCAGGAATGTACAAATGTCTTTATTCAAAAAATACAAAATAAATTATCTGTAGGCATGGACAATGACTGTAAACAATTACACGTGTTAAATGAAATCCAGTAACTGATGGTTACAGTGATTCTTTTAAACACCAGCCTCACTTCAGTCACTATCCACCCTCTTGCACTGACAGCCAAAGTTTTTAAAGTCAGAACTGTCAGTCTTAAACACCATGGCTCATGATGCATCCCTAGCCCAGGAATTAGAACATGCCACCTCCCATCCCTCCACCCATCCCACCCATCCCACCCATTGCCGGCTCCTTTTCTTCCTTAGGGATTTCAGTCACCACTGCTTCTGCTGTTGATAAGAGAGACGCAACACCTGCAGCATCCATCAGAGCAGTTCTCACAACCTAAAAATAGAAAAGAAAGAACTTAATACCTGCTGACTATCATAGGAGCTGGGAGGAAGGACAGCTGAGAATTCAGACTGGTTTGGGTTACCTTTGTTGGGTCTATGATTCCTTTCTCTACCATATTTACAAAGTCCCCAAGCATTGCATCATAGCCAACTTCTGATGGACTCTGCAGGATTTTTTCAACTATTAGTGATCCTTCGACACCTGCATTCTTTGCAATAGTCATTGCTGGGATTTTCAGTGTTCTCTTTATTATTTCAATGCCTGTAAGAAAAAGGGTGTTTAGCATTACATATTACATAGGCCGCTCCTATTGCCAAAGCAGGCCTTCATGTGCTGGAGATGAATCCAAGGAGAGAACCCTCTGAGCAAGAGCATAAGCTATTTTTATCAGTTCCAGGGGGGAGGAAAAAAAAAAAAAAAAAAAAAAAAAAGAGTTGCAGCATAAAGGACATTTGTCAACAAATAAAACAATACATTGCAGGGTATTCCCACACATTTTAGTTTTACTTCTGCAAAAGGTGGTAAGGAGCGTTATTATTGTAACATGGCACAAAGCCTTCTTCCATGGATTTGCCATACAATCTCTTAAGCATTCTTAGATTTTGTCTGCCTGCAGTGGCTGTAACAGTCAACTCTCCTTTACTGAATGGCTTGTAATTCTTTGCAGGCAGTAGTGCTGCTTTATTGGTATTGGTCTTTTCACATCCAAGTAAGGGACACACTGAGGGTCCTTCCCACCATAATGCAGAGACCGCCATGCCAAGGGGATATGAGGTTCTAAAGCTCAAGTAACTAAAAGCTCCCTAAGAGCAATCTATATTTATTCTTACAAAGCCTCAGGACAGAAGAAAGGGTATTCTTAACACTTCACCACACACACTGGAATCATTTACTTACCGATTTTCTGATCTTCGTTGGCTGGAGCTAAAGCATCTAATGCTGGAATGCAGCGAAGCAGTGCACAGCCACCACCTGGAACAATGCCTTCCTCCACAGCAGCACGGGTGGCGTTCAGGGCATCGGTAACTCTGTCTTTCTTCTCATTCACTTCAACATCACTTGTGCCACCGACCTACAACAAGCAAGCCACACGTCAAGGCATGCACAAGGAGCCTGAGGGGGAGAGCACTGCTGGCTATGGAACCCCTGCTGCAAAACTAAACAGTCATTGACTGAAAAGTGCCAGAAAGCAAACCCACGCCCTCCCACTGGCTGTGGGTCTTTTGTGCCTCAGCACACAATTTTAGTTGATTATTTCATCAAGCTCTTAATACCAAGGTGTAGTACTATGATAAGCCACATTCCTTATCCAAATCAACTGCTAAGATGATGAGACAACCACACAGTAGTAACTTGATTAGCAATCAAAGACTGATACCACCCCTTTCCTAAGAAGTTGAACTTCTCACCTTCAATACCGCTACCCCATCAGAGAGTTTGGCCAATCGCTCATTCAGTTTCTCTTTTTCATAGTCACTTGTGGTAACTTCCAGCTGTTCAATAATTTCTTGAATACGTTTTTCAATTTGAGCCTTCTCACCCTTCCCCTTTAGAAGCATGGTGTCATCTTTCGTCACAATGACCTCTCCAACTTTACCAAAGTCATGAGGCTGAATATCTTCCACATTTAGGCTCAGACCCTCTTCTCCAAACACCTGAGGCAAATTATATGAAAAGTTGGAATTGACAGCTTCTCCATACAGGAATGTTTTATTTATAGACACACAAAGACACACAGCAGGCTAACAGCGCAAAATAGTCCCACTACTGCAGCTAAGTTGAACAAAATGCTTCCCTTTTCCTAACAGAGTCCAGGCAGGCAAGTACCTCCCAAACTGGCCCTCACGGAATAGGGAGCTGCCAACTTCTCATTCATGACTGACTAATGTCACTCTCAGATTCAGAGTGCCTGGAAAGCAGTTAACTGTGTTACTGCGTCCTCCCCGTATTTCCAGAGGTTTTGAATGTTGGCACTAAACTGGCTTTAGAATGGAGTTTGCTCGTTTTGTTACTTTATGCTCCATGTAGCTTAAACACTAAATTGTCTTTCAATAACCACCTTTGGATCCCAGTATCATACTATGATTTTGAAGTGTGTAAAAAAAAAAGCAGCATAAAGGGACACTAATCAGCACATCAAGTGTTTGAGAAGTTGAGTACAAAAGAAAATTATCCAGTCTATTCCAAACATTTAAAAGAATTCTATTTGCCATACTTGAGTCTGGGCAGTTATGAGACAGTCTTATAAGGTGGCAAGAAAGCTTTGCTATTTCCTTGATGTTCCTCCTTCCCCTTAACAACCTAAACGCTACAAGGAAATAGTGTGTAACTTCAATCAAAGTTACAGTCAGTCAGTTAAA